TTTTCTGCCCGGCTGGCTTCGAATCAGGATCCTCAGGTCTAAGCCTCCTGAGTAGCTAGGATTACAGGCATGAGCCACTGACATCTGGCTAGCTTTCAGTTTAAATAGAGAAAGAAGGGGTTGGGAAGGTGGCTCAGTGGTAGAGCGCTTGCCTTGCATGCATGAGGCCCTGGGTTCGATTCCTCAGTACCACATAAGCAGAAAAAAAGCCAGAAGTGGCATTGTGGCTCAAGTGGTAGAGCGCTAGCCTTGGGCTGAAGAGCTGAGGGACAGCACCCAGGCCCAGAGTTCAGGCCCACGACCGCTCCCCCCCCAAAAAAATAAATAGAGAAAGAATTGAGGCAGAGGGTGAGAGGTATGCAGGGTTAAGTAATCTTCAAAGTGTCGCTTGATGGGGACAGTCTAGCTCTCAGAAGATAACTGCTCTGAGTTGGGGGGTAGGTATCATCTCTTCTTGGGGTGATCTATCTAGGAGTCTCTGATGTTCCCAGAATCAATGGATACTGCAGGGGGTGATTGGTTAGGTGTTGGTTTTACATGGACATCTGAGTGAGTAACGTGATTATATGAGTTAAGCCAGAGTCTGAACCTAAGTCTTAAAACAAAGGAAAGAGCCAGATTAAAAATGAAGGCTGAGATGTCTGGCTTTTCTCCTGCTTTTAGTTAACTTGTAGGCTCACTTAAGGAGTCAGTGCTTTTTAGTAGAAGTAAGTTTTAGGACCTGTTATACTAGGAACTAGCTATGTTGCCCAGGCTGGTCTTGAACTCATAAGCTCAAATGATCTTCTTTTTCTCAGCCTCCTGAATAGCTGGGTCTACAGACAGGCACTGCTGTGTCCAGTTGGGTAATGAAAACAACAGAAATGTATTATTTCATAATTCAGAAAGCTAAACATCTGAAATTGATACTGAGAGGGTCGGTTCCTTTCTGAAGGTTGTGGAGAAAGTCTGGTCCTTATCATCTGGCATTCCTTGGCTTGCAGGCACATCAAGCTATCTTTGCTTCCATCAGATTTACATGGTGTTCTCTCCATGGGTCCCTTCTCTTCTAAGAGTATCAATCATACTGGATTAATAGCCCACCCTGCTCCAGTTTGTCCTTACCTTAACTAATTACATCTACAATGACCCTATATCTAAATAAGGTCACATTCAGAGGTACTAGGAATTAGTATCTTAACATATCTTTTTTTTGGGGGGGGCACAATTCAACCCATAACCTCAAGTCACAAGGGAATATGTGGTCCTTAGACTTCCTAAGACCCCCAAGGACAGAATGAAATATACTTCCTTCAAGACTCCCATACTTAATGCTTGCTTCTGTGTAACAGAGCTTTAGCATGTTTACCACTATCACTGTGTGAAGTGAGAGCCCCATCTCTTTTGTCTTCCCATATTGTCTGTAAAGGCTGTTTGGTGGGTCCTGCCTAGGGTCCCTCATTAGCTCAGGAGGCTGAGATCTGAGATTTGGAGCCAGCCTAGCAGGACCTTTCATGAGACTCTTATCTCCAATTAGCCACCAAAAAGCCAGAAGTGGAGGTGTGGCTCAAGGGGGAGGGCCAGCCTCCAGAGAAAAAGCTAAAGGACAGTGCCCCAGCCCTGAGTTCAAGTCCCAGTACCTACCTACACACACACACACACACACACACACACACACAAAGCTATGATTCATGTTCAAGTGGCTCATGACTATAATCCTAACTATTCAAGGAGGCTGAGATCTGGAGGATCAAGGTTCAAAGCTAGTTCTGGGAGAAAAGTCTGTGAGACTCCATCTCCAAAATAACCAGTAAAAAGTAGTGTTGGAGGCGTGGCTCATGTGGTAGAGCGCCAGTCTAGCAAGCCGGAGGCCCTGAGTTCAAACTAGGAACCACTGGGAAGCCCCAGTCATGGGTAGGCTTGGCATTTCTCTAAATCTTCCTTGGGTTAATCCTTATAACGACCTCGTGAAGTAGTTAAACACTTTTAACTCCCGATAACGGACGGGAAAGAACATTGGGCTTTCCAAAGCTGAATTAACAATGCAGCCAGAACCTGAATGGGCGCTCGAAGACACCACATGAGAAGTTTTCCAATGCTCCATCCTCCCTCCCCCCCTCTCTCCTCTCTCTTCCTCTCTCCTCAAAAGTACCCCTGATCCAGTTAATTCTGCTCTAATACTCGAGAAAAACCAACCTTGGCGGCACCTCAGTCCTCAGGATGTTGGGGTGCACGGCACACCCGAGGTTGCACGCCCGCCCGGCAAGCGCACTCACAACAGAACACAAAGTGGTCCCTCCCTGCGTTCGGGAGCGCGCGTAAGGACCTGCGCGCTGATTGGTGCGCGCGGTTCGGGGCCTGGGCTAGCTCCGCCCCTGAGTCCATCCTGAAGCAGCGATTGGTCGAGAGGTCGTGCGCACAGGCCCTGCGGCCTCGCACGCTCCTCCCCGCGGAGCTCCGAACTTGCATGGGGCGTCGCCAATGACCGCGGGAGCGTGACTGCGCTGCGCGGGGCGCTGGGAGGCATTGCTGCTGTAAGTGGAGCCCAAAGCCTCCCGGGATCGGGCCACACGCTTCGAGCCCCGCAAAGTAAACATAGTCCGAGGCCAAGCGTTGCAGGGTGTGTGTGGGGGAGAGGGTGAGCAGTGTCCGGGTATTTGCAGCGTCCCCTCCCCCCCCCACGTCACCAGCTGTGGCGGGAAGGGGGCGGTGGCGTCTCCGGTGTGGCTTGCGCTCTGCGGCTGGACCGCGATGGCCCGGGGAGGGGAGCAGTGGGTACCGGGATGCCCGGAGGAAGCGCTCCTGGGTGGGCTTCCGTTTCCCGAGGGAGGCGCCCTTGCCGGGAGATGCTGCTGTGTATTTGGTCCCCAGAGCGACACTTTTCGGGATTTGCTTCCGCTGGAGAGGAGCGGGGGTTTTGGGGGGGGGGGCTGTAGTCTTGTCCGCAGCGCGCCTCTCCGCGGAGCAGTCCCCGGCCCTCCGCGTCCACCCACGGCTCCACCTGCTTGCTTTATTCGCCTAGTCCGCTTCTGCCAGGCAAGCTGGGGGTCCCACATTGAGCCCCTTGCTGCAGGCATCGAGGTGAACCTGATGTGCAGTGCTCGGGGGATCCTGGCCTGGCCACCCTTACAGTTCAGGGGAGACTCAGTCCAGGGGTGCAGAGGAACCTATAAGGGAGCTCACGTGGGGCTTCTCAAACCCCATGGCGCAGAAACCAGGCGCCGTCGCGTCCCGATCACGCCCCAGCGGTCTCTCTTCCTGGGGGTGGGAAAGTGGGTCAAGCCCTGTCCTGCTACGAGTGGGCCTTTGGGGCTACTGGGGTCGGGAGCAAGCCCTCCACTCCTCTCCTTCCCCACACCCGCATCTTCACCCTGGCATGATGGATCGGCCAGGCTAGAGCCGGCAGTGGGGGCAGCTGGCGCGCATGGCTCGGGAGGCTCCGGTTGCTGGCCAGAGCGGCTGCCAGGCTCTAAAGTTCCCAATTGACCACACCAGAAACTAAATATAGGAGCAGCTGGTGCGGACGTGGTGTCGCAGAGGCTCCTTTGCAGAGCTCTTGGGACCGCAGATAAGGTAGAGTTCTTACTTGTAAGGGGCTAGTCACCGGGCTAGTTGGTTTAAATGCTGCCTCCTCTCTCCTCTCTCACACACTGGGAGGACAGTATTGGCACCTCCCACAAAGCAGGGCAATATGGGAGGGGGGTGCATGCTCTCCTGCACCCACGCACCTCTTGGGAGGCTTGATCTCAGGGCCTAAGCACTGTCCTTTTTGATCTGTTCATTGAGGTAGTTTGCTGTACCACTTGAACCACAGCTCCACATCCTGCATTTTGCTTGTTAGTTGGAGATAAAGAGTTTTACAGAGTTTTTGCCTGGGGTTCACTTGGACCTTTGGTCCTCAGATCTCTTGAGTAGCCTCTTGAGTAGCTAGGATTGTAAGTGTGAGCCACCAGTGCCAGGCTTAGGGCAACTTTTTTTTTTTATTTTCCTTTATTTCAGTTTATTATATCCAAACTTCCTGTTTGTCCTGTACATTTAATGCTTTGGCTGGGCCTTTCTTGAAGTGACAGTCCAGTTGAAGGTGGCATTTCCATTTTACAAATGAGGCTGCTGTACACACCTCAACTTTCCAAAACTTTGCTTGGATTAGTTGCTTCAGTCAGAGGATAGGCCTATGGGAAGCAGATGTCCAGCTCTTGGACCTTGTTCCTTCCCCTGGGGCCATTTCTGCGGGGGAACAGGGAAGTACTCTAGGCTTGGGCCCTGTCCCTCAGCTCTTCAGCTCAAGGCTAGTGCTTTACCACTTGAACCACAGCGTCACTCCCAGCTTTTCTGTTTATGTGGTGGTAAGGAATCAAACCCAGGGCCTCATGCATGCAAGGCATGCACTCTACCACTGAGCCTTACCAGCCCCCTGGAACATTTCTTTTTCTTTCTTTCTTTCTTTTTTGGGGGGGAGTCCAGTCATGGGTGCTGTCCCTCAGCTCTTCAGCTCAAGGCTAGCGCTCTACCACTTGAGCCACAGCGCCACTTCCAGCTTTTTTTCTTTTTGCTCTTATGTGGTGCTGAGGAATTGAACCCAGGGCCTCATGCATGCAAGGCAAGCACTCTACCACTGAGCCACCTTCCCAGTCCCCCCTGGAACATTTCTAGGGCCTCCTTTTTTTGGGGGGGGGGTTTGGTCTTGGGGCCTGAACTCTGGACCTGGGCGCTGTCCCTCAGCTCTTCAGCTCAAGGCTAGTGCTCTACCACTTGAGCCACAGCGCCACTTCTGGCTTATTTTTTCTTTTTGCTTATGTGGTGCTGAGAAATCGAACCCAGGGCCTCAAGCATGCAAGGCAAGGGCTCTACCACTGAGCCACCTTCCCAGCCCCTCTAAAGCCTCCTTTCTAATACCTGGGACTAGTGCCATCTAGCTGGAGGGTCCATAGATGAAGACCAAGACTGGATCATGGCTCCTGTTTCTCCCCTTTAGGATTCTCTCAACTCTCTTGTGTCTCTTGGAGGCTAGAACTTGGCCTATGAAGCTGCCATGGGGGCCTGTGTTTCAGTTGTGGTTCCAGCAAGGCCACCCTTGTATTCTGATTGTTCAAACAGTGCTGACATATGATGATTTCTGATTGACTCAAATTGTTTGTAGACACTGGGGCCCCTCACATCCCAGGGCAGCCTAGCCCAGGGGCTTTTGCAGAAAGTTCCAGGCAGGTCTACAGCTTAAAGGAAAAATAAGTTTCTTTATCCCACTTCCCTTAGCCTTTCTTTTTGAGCTCCTGGTTGATACTAAAGTCCTCCTCCTCCTCCTCCTCTTCATGTTCTTCTTCTTCTTCTTCCTCCTCCTCTTGCTCTCCTCCTCCTCCTTCTTTTATTTATTTTTGCTGTTGTTACTACAGTTTGAAGTCCTGGTCTCAGGCTATCACAGATTTTTTTCCGCTCTGGGCTGTTACTCTACTACTTGAGCCACACCTCTACTTCTGTATTTGGCTGGTCAGTTAAAGATAAGAATCTCCAAAGACAAGAATCACCTCAGTTCAGGGTTCAAAGCCAGCCTGAGCAGGAAATGAGACTGTTATTTCCAATAAACCACTAGAAAACTGGAAGTGGCGCTGTGGCTCAAGTGGTAGAGTGCTTGCCTTGAGCTGAAGAGCGCAGGGACAGCGCCCAAGCCCAGAGTTCAAGCCCCACTACCGACGCCTCTCCACCCCCCAAATACAACAAAAAAAGAATCACCTCAGTATTTGTTTGTCTAGACTGGCTTTGAACAATGATATTCAGATCTCAGCCTCTTATGAGTGCCTAGGATTACAGACATGAGCCACTGGTGCCCAGCAATTCTTGTTATTTTTGACAAACTGACTCTGCCTTGGGAGTAAAAGGAACAGTGAGTGAAGTAGTAATGTTGTTGATGCTTTTTGGAACTCACTCCAGCCCCATGTCATCCCAAGTTTGTTCTCTATTCCATCTGGAGTCTTTACTCTATCCTGAGCCCTATACAACCTGAGCCTGTATGTTTTGTTATCTGGCCTGGGAGAGAGATAGCCAGGTGAGATGGTGTGTGTATGAGTGTGCATGTATGTGTTTGTGTATGCATGTGTGTGTGTGTGTGTGTGTGGTTTTAAAGCTCATAAACAACCTAAATGACTTGTCCTAAGCCATTAAGTGCTACTGAAACTCAGAGGGAGGAGAGAATCCTGAAGGCTAGGGCAGCCTGGGGAGACTTCCTGGAGGTGGAGAAGCAGGAATTCTCATTCCTTAAGGATGAGTTTCACTGAGTTGTTTGCTGAGGTTCATATGAGTAAGAAACTGGGATTAGCTGCTGGTGTCATGCCTGCATGTATACTGCTTTGTTTCTTCAAGGAGCCTTTGTTGGATATGTGTCCTAGGTTCTGATCTAGGCAGATCCATATATTTTCTCAGTGGTGTTAACTGAGGAAATTGAATATTGACACATTTCTTACTCAGATGAAGAAACTGGGCCCAATTATTGGGAAACTCTACCAAAGCTTCTCAGTTACTAAGTAGTAGAGTTGGGCGTTTGGCCTGTACTAGTGCACCATGTGTCAGCCCCTTGGAGAAACACAGAGAGGAGAGGTAGATTGGCCATACCTGTCCTGCTTGTTCAGCTGAGTCCAGGAGCATTGTGTCTATCCGCTGTCAGCTCTGAGCTTGCTCCCACCCCCTGCTCTGTGCCCTCCCAGACTTGCCTCTGGCCTTGGATAGAGCTAGTTCACTGGGCTCCTCAAGCTGCCTTTGGAGCTGGGATTGGAGATAGAGAGCTACAGATAGGATGGACCTGGCCTGGCCTGGCCTGGGTTTTGCTACTCAGTCACTTTAACCTTGTCTTGGTCACTTAGCTACTCCTTCTGTCTTAGTTTCCCACTCTGTAATAAATGGAAAGTTGGGAACATTTTTATGTCTTTTATGTCCGCATGCTTATAATTTTATGATGCCTTATGTCTTTAACATTATAGATAGATAGATAATAGATAGTGTGTGTGTATATGTGTGTGTATATTGATACTGAGACTTGCACTCAGTGCCTAGGTACTGTCCCTTAGCTTTTTTACTCGAAGCTGGTATTCTACCACCTGAACCATAGCTCTACTTCTGAGTTTTGGTGAATTGTAGATAAGTCTTACCGAGTTCCCTATCCAGGCTGGCTTCAAACCTCAATCCTCAGATCTCAGCCTCCGGAAGAGGATTATAGGTGTGAGCCACTGACTTCTGGCTGTTTTCGGTAGCCCTCTCTCCCCTAGTGATCAGATTTCCCTTCTCTCATTTCCAGCACCTCCCCCCTGCTTGCAGATAAACTCAGCATCAGGCTGATAATCAGGTGTACAGGCTAGTGCTGTAACCTTCCCTGCAGACTGGCCAAGGAAAGGAAGTTCATGCTGAGGGCCCAGCCACTGGCAGACTGTGAGCTCCATTTGCCTTGGCGTGCCCACTTCCTGCTGTGCAGGAGGAGCCTGGAAGATGGGAATGGGGTGAGCCGGAGGAAGTGCAAGTATAGGGCACAGTGCGGGTGGAGGGCAGGTGTCTTTCTTCTATAGTTGGCTGGGCCCGCCTTCTTCCCGGCATCCTACCTGTTGAGTCATAGATCAGCATACACCTGAGTTCTCACCTATCTGGCCACAGGTTCAGGCTTGGGTCCTGTGTTTGGTGAGGTCATACTCACCAGAAAAGCAGGAGGGGCCATCTGTCTTCTGATACGTGATGAGCCTTTGCAAAGCCCACTCTGACTGTTGCCTAGGCTCTGCCTCACAAGAGAGGTGGGTGGCCTGGACCTGTCCTGGGGCTTCCTAGCCACCTGGATCTTGGGGAAGAGGATGCTGAGGAGGGTGGGGTTCCAGCTGGCAGGAGAGTGCTTCATGGTCCTGCATTTTCCCCAGACACAGGCCCCTTTGTGAGAAGCAGACCGGCCTGGGGGCTGGGAGCAGGCTACCTACGGCTGCATGTTGAAGAAAATGGGTGAGGCTGTGGCCAGAGTTGCAAGGAAGGTCAACGAAACAGTGGAGAGCGGCTCTGACACCCTGGGTGAGTGAGGCCTGGTTTTTCCACTGCTCTGGGATGGTTTGTGAAGTCAGCTTAGAAGTGACTCGGGAAGAGATGAAGGGGCCCAGGTGAGGTGTGCCCTGACCATGAGGGCAAGGGTTTGATGGGACATGGGCTGTGCTTGTGGCAGTTGTGTGTGGTCTGGGTTCCCATGGAAGACATAGTTCTTACTATGGGGTCTGAGTAATGGATCCCTTGGACTAACTGAAATAGTAGGGTGGCACCAGCTGGTTGCCCCATGCACAAATTCCATGCCCCTGTGTTGTCACCTTATTGGATTGTCACTGTAACCTGTGTTGTGTCACTTTATTGGATTGTCACAGCCCTTCTATGGTGACTGATGACAGTCATGGCTATTCTTTCTTCAGATGAGGACAAGGGGGGGGGCAACAGATACGTGAGTGTTTGGGGGTTTAGTCCTTTCGGGAGGCCTCCTTGCATTCCATATTTCACTTGAGTTGTGTTTTTTATTTTGCATTGATTGTAGCATTTTAGCTTGTGAGTTACTCCCACACTCCAAGCATTTAAGTAGACCATCCTGTTGAGTTGAATTAGGCAAATTTTACTTTTATTTGATTGTACTTTATGCCTGTGCTAGGGCTTAAACTCAGAATCTCCAGGGTTCTCTTCATTAGCTTTTGCTCTCAAGGCTGAACTTCTACAACTTGAGCCACAGCTCCACTTCCAGCTTTTTGGTAGTTAATTAGAGATAAGAGTCTCACTTGAGCGCGTGGGCTGGCTTCAGATTGCAATCATCACCTCTCAGCCTCTAGAGTAGCTCTAGGATTACAGGTGTGTACCACTGCCTCCAGCATCAGCAGCTGTTCATGACGAAGGACAGCTGAGGATACAGTGCAAATTACCTGTGTATGTTTGGTGGGCATGAGTGTGGTGGTGGTGGTGTGTGTGTGTGAGTGTGTTGTGTATATGTGTGTGTGTGTCCATGTCTGTCTGTCCATCCCACTGGAGCATATGCTCCACCACTGTGGAGTCACAGGCGTGTGTGGGCACCCAAGGGACTAGAGCAGAGTACTGTCTTGGATGATCGCCTATTGTTACAGACAGGCAGGCTTCGGCTATAGAGTAGAAGTTTATAAGTGAGCATACTTCCTGGGGCTGTGTGTCTGCATCTCTGCAGCTGACAGAGGAGCATTTCTGTGGTGGTTACTGCTGAGCAAAGACCCAGACTAGGAAGGTAGAGTATTTTTCTGAGCTGTGACTCATTAAATGTGTCTAGAATGTAGACTTGGGTCAAGGGGTGGTGGCCCAGGATGTGGAGGGATATTCAATCTTTAGGATGGACACTGCCTCTTCCAGGAAGTCCCCAGCCTTACCCCATTCCCCTTCCTTCCTCTGTAGAGCCTTTCTACAGGGCATGGACCCTGTGGTCTTTTGCTGCTCCCATGCTGCCCCCTTCTAGTCCTCACTAAGGCTAGTTAGGAACTGTGTTAGCACATGGCAGGGTGGGTTGTTGAACTGAGCCAAAGTATATACGGTGTCTCCTCTACCAGAGATCTAACTTGTTCTCTGTAGACTTTGGAGCTGAGTCTCTGAGCAAGTCTTACCCCTGGTGAGCTGTTGATTCTGGGCCCCCCATTAAAATGTCTGGATATTTGCACTCATCACTAATATGGCTGCCCATGTTCAAAGTTCTCCATCACTAATATTGCATCCAACAAGCCAGCCTTTGTGTGCTAGGGGCCCAAGTTGTCAATCTAGTACCCTGTCAGATTGCTAAGGCTCATCTGTTAAGCATCAATTTCTTCATCTATGAATAAGGATGTTGTGTCTCCCTCATCTGGATGATAGAATGATATTTGTCATGTGCTTGGCATTCTGTGAGCTCAGAAAATGGCAGCGTGTGTGTGTGTGTGTGTGTGTGTGTGTGTGTGTGTGTGTGTATGTGTGTGTGTGTTCTTCTCTTGGGGGCTTGAACTCAGGGTCTGGGTATTGTCCCTGAGCTTCTTTGGCTTAAGGCTAGCACTCTTACCATTTCAGCTTCAACTCCACTTCTGGCTTTTTTGGGTAGTTAAGTGAAGATAAGAGTCTCACAGATTTTCCTGCCTAGGTTGGCTTCAAATTGTGATCCTCAGATCTCAGCCTCCTGAGTAGCTAGGTGTTAGCCATGGAAGCCCAGCTTGGAAGCTATTGTTTTTAATGTTTCCTCATCCCCCAAGGCTGGAAGTGGGGCCTCAGCCCTCACAGCACAGACACACCATGCCAGGTGTCCCAGACAGGTCTCCACTGGCTGTTTCCCATTGCTTCCTAGTGCAGAGTGCAAAACAGATTGGCAAGTCTCTGCATGACCTCTCTGACTTAAAGTGTCAGGGGGTGGGAGGATGTGTGCAGCTTCATCTTATCCAGCTGTGTGGGGGCTGAGGAATCCTGGGAGAGAGAGAGAACTGAATTCTGACCTGGGGAGTTGGGGAAGCCCCCTGGCGGGGAGACCACCATCCCAGGCATTGGGAGGGACACAGTTGGAAGGCTGTGCTGGGGAGTCTGGACTTCAGCCTGTGTGGGCATGGGATCCAGACTGGGCTGTATGTAGTCAGCACATATTAAGTACCTGCTGTTTACAAAGTGTGGGGGAAATCCCAGGGAGGTAGGTGAGCCCTGGGCCTGAGACCAGCCTACCCCCTGTGAGATAGTAAGACAGCAGGTGAAGTAGTCCTGGGAGGCTTCCTGGAGGAGGTGGGAATTGAATTGGGTCTTGAAAGATAAGTGAAGGTAATCAATATGATTCTCTTATAACAATAGTAAGCAGTAGGATCGCCATTCAAAGTCAACCCAGGCAAGAAAGTCCATGAGACACTTATCTCCAGTAATCCAGCAGAAAAATGGAAGTTACACTGTAGCTCAAAGTGGTAGAGCACTAGCCTTGAGTGACAAAGCTCAGGGGCAGTACCTAGGCCCCGAGTTCAAGTCCCATGACCAACAACAACAACAACAAAAAAGCAAGCAATGTGAAACAACTAAACATACAGCATGAGAAAGCAGAAAGTAGTTTAAATAAGTTCTCACACAGTTATACAGTCATTTATGTAGCCCATAACAGTGGTGAGAAACATTTCACTGTACTCCTGGATAAAGATCGACAACATTCTCATGTTACATGCATTGGGAAACACAAGGTCCTAAACTGTGTATTCAGTAAGGTACTGATTATGCAGAACATATGTGTATATGTAGAAGAGAAGATGGAAGAAAATAAAACAAGATGCAAAAGGGAATCAGAAAATGATCACCTGCATTTTTGAAATGCGTTGTGATGAATGTATTACTGTCAAAACTTGAGAAGAAGAGAATAGCTGGTGTACTAGGCAGCTCTTATGTCTTACACAGGTGGGATGCAGGTGCGTGGGAGTCCTGGAAACAGGCTGGAAATAGCTAATTATGGCTGTTCTCATCTCAACACCTTCATTCCTCCAGCCTTCCGGGTGCCTCAGAGCCCAAGCTGCAGCTGGGTCCAGCTTCTATCTCCTGAACCTGTAACCTGAACTGTGGATCCCAGCCCGAACAACCTCCCACTCCAGCTTCTTTCTCCCCCAGCAAGTGGGCTCCTTTTCCATCTGGCCCTCTGAAGTCCCCCAGCTTGAATGGAAGCCACTCCTGTCCCAGTCCCCCCACCCCCTTCCAGTACCAGCATCGTTTTCTAGACTTTTAGGAGCAGTGCTCACCCTCCTTTCTTTTCTTTTTTTTTTTTTGTCGGTCGTGGGGCTTGAAATCTCACCCTCCTTTCTGACCTCTCCTGGCTCCTCAAGTTAATACTTCCTCTGTGTGCCATCTCAGGCTGGTCTGGGCTGACTCCCTTGGGTCCTGAACCTCCCCACCCCCCCAACCCAGGGTCTTAGTCTGATCTTGCCTTCTCTATAATGGTCTGTGGGATTAGGCTGCTGTGCCCTGTTCCGTTCCAAGGCAAAAACACACAGACTGCTGTGTGCCTGGATTTTGTTCTTTTGGGTGGGGGGTCACCCTGGAACCATTTCCTCATGGATAACTATTTATAGAAATACAACAGTCCTCTTGGGTAGCTGGGGAATATAGGTATGAGCCGATCCTTCTAGGCTTCATCCATTTGTCTTTGATAAAATGTCTATGTACACTTTTTTCTCATTAACTTTTGAAGGCTCTTTATATATTCCAAGGTTCTTTATCTGGCATGTGTTTTGTACTATGGTTTCCAGCCTTTGCCTTGTCTTTCATTCCCTTCACAGCATCTTTTGAGGAAGAGATATTGTTAATTTGAAGTTTAATTAAATTTTTTTTTTCTTCTGGACATTGATGAAAGCGAACTGGGCAACTTGTGGGCAGAGATGGGAGGGAGAGAATGGGAGAGAATAAATGAACAGATGGTACTATTCAAAATGGAAGAAAATGTACTTATTACCTGAAATATGTAAAGGTAATCATGCTGTGTATCACCTCTAAAACAACAATAAAGGTAAAAAATTTTTTTTTCTGATACTGGGACTTGAACTTGAGCTTGCTTGCTTGTGGCTATCTCCAGATTGGCTTTTTGCTGCTTAATTGGAGATGGAATCTCAAGGGCTTTTCTGCCTCCTTGACTTTGAACTATAATCCTTTGAATCTCAGCCTCTTGAGGCTAGGATTACAAGCATAAGCTATTAACATTCAGCTTCATTTTTCCTTTATAGATGGTAATTTGGATATTGTCTAGGTACCAAACTCAAGGGCACAGAGATTTCTTCTTGCCAGAATCATGTAAGTAGTGGGTAAACAACATGAATGTACAAACTATCAGAAGGGGACTGGTGATCTTTAAGATGAGCCTTCTCTGCCTCAAATTTTGAGAACATTTTGTAAATAAATTCTTTCCCCTGGTGCTTACAGAGGGCTGGGCAGACCTCTGCATGGGTACAGAGGTAACAAATAGAAATGGGCTGCAATACTGGGATGTGGCACACCACTAGGTGGGGGTGGGGGAGGCGGGAAAGACCAGGACTAAGCAGCTAGCTGGAAAC